CGAGGCTACTAACGGAAACCCCTGCCCATAGGGTGCTTGCAGCACAGTAACTTCGACCAATAACATCGGCGATGCTCACCTTTGGATGAAATCAAACCATTCGATAGTAAGGAGTCGCCTCTGACTCATCACGCAGAATGCCTAATGATTGCCAACATCCAACTTCTGCAGCATCTAGGTTTCAGTTCCATATGCCAGTATAAGTAGAACGCAAGAGCGAACTAGCTGAGATATTCCAATTGTTGAAATAGCTTTTCACGTTGGGGATCATTCCTTCGCCTGCTAAAGTTCTGTTAAACTGCTAAAGTAAGCCAGTGATTTAGCAGCAGCCGAATAAGTTTCATAAAATTCTTGACCCTCGATCAGATTCAAGTACTGACTCAAAAGTATATGCTCAAAAAAATAACTGCTCAAAACTACCGTGAATTTGGATGGCATTCATGGATTTTCTATATTTTGAAAGTCGTTTGGCATTATATAGTTTTCTTCACATTCGGAAGGCAAGGAACTGGAAACCTTTGGCACAACGTTGTTGAACAGACAAACAAAATAAATTGAACAATTCCTCAGGTTTCTAATTCTGGGCTTATAGACGGCTGTTTGAATGATTCATAGTTTATTCACGCCGAATACAGCAGATTGCAAACAAATTAATGCAAACACGTTTCACTGCACCGACAGTAGCATCATCAGGGCTGGACGGAGTTTAATTGATTGTTTGAGTGCATTTATGTAAAACAACCGAACAAAACCAATTTTTTAATTGGCATATCACATACAGTAAAAACATTGTTAAGCTGACTGAAGAGAGCATAATGCCCAAATCAAAGTAAATCGGATCTTTGTCAATTTGAGCTGATTTTACGCATCCCAATTTTGTGATTGCACCCCCGTTTAAGCTGATAGCAACAGAAGATGTGCAATCACTGCACATCCGGTTTTTTATTGCCAGCACATGCAAGGACACTTTTATCAGCAGACCTAATTTAGATTGATCTTTGCCTACGGCAGACACATTGGTATGACTGAAAGAATGTCATTCAGTAATTGCACATTGGACAATACCAGAATTTCCCGCTTCTCCAAGGCAGACCACAGCAAGGCAATCTTTTCTACGGATGTTCAGTTTCCAGTTGTTCTTTTCAATGTAAACCTTGTCGCAGTATCGATGCTGAAATTTATGTACCACATTTAACACTTCTTCCAGGTTAATGGGCATATATGTTTTAAGTAAACTATCATCCAATATTCTGCTAGTCTTGCAGTAGACCCTAAATCCTACGTTATTAAGGTACCTCGTGATAAGATGAGATATTTGGGTATGAACGGTAAAATTAGCATTGGTCCACATGAACTGACCATCTTTAAGCTTTAACTGGGGTGCAAAGGTTCTTCTTCAAGGATCCTCCTTCGGAAAACCATTCCTCAGGAACATTTGATGAAGATGTTGGATTTCTGCGTTTAAGCCTGAAGTGCTAGTGCAGGTCTTTTGGGCTCGCCTCTATTTGTAAATGGCGATTTCAGTCATCAATATTTTCACTTACCAACTTCCACGGACTCAAGCAACAGTTTGAGGTTCCGATCCACTCGCCTATCCGGCTAGGTTTTGATTTCAGAAATACACCCTTATTCGAGCATCGAAACGTGCCTAAGTGTACTTGGCATAGGAGAGCTTGTGCACAAAAGTCGATGATCAATTTGATGATCACATCGTTTGACTTAGGCTGCTCCATGATGGCTGTACGCGTTAGGAAGCGCTCAGAGCCAACCGTCGACGGCCACCGTCTTGCCACCATCCGCTACAGAACATCGCACACTCTGCGAAGACCTGACCCAAAAGGAACCACAATCAATTGGGAATCGCGACCTCCAACAGGTATGAGGGAGAAATTAATAAACAACACTGCACGACGGTTTGAACAGATATACGTGAGGACGGCTGACGCAGAAGCTCTTTGAAACTAGATTGGCAAAAAATTTTAACATAACTTGTTCTTCACCACGTTCCTGGGTAATCCAGGAGGGACTCATGACTTCGAATGTAGGAATCGATTACAGGGTGATACCCTTTAATGGTTTTCGATTAGAGAAACCTCAAATTCGAACGATTGCGTCCTATTCACCAGCACCGAGCAAGGATATAAAGTGGTTCACATCCACTTTGGTTGTAAAGCGTATTTGGCTATCTTTATCTTATCCATCCATGTAATTCACCAAGAATTCCAACCTTCGTTCTCATTTCCTTGGAAGAATAGAATTTCTAAACGGCAAACAAAGCATTCTGGCAGACCATCCGCCGGCTCTGAGGTGAAAAGATGGGCAGTCTCAGAGTCTTGAAGGACAGATCTGGACACCCTCTTACCAAGGATGATGA